GCTCTCCACCACAGCAGTCTGGCAATGATAATGAGTGGTTATTTAGGTGACTATCTGCCCCATGCCTGTTTGCCTCAGAGATCTGGTGAGCGCCAGGGCAGACTGTATTCCTGGGGTCCAGCATAGCAGAAGTGTGAATTCATGAAATTTGTTGAATGATTGCCCGTCCGAATAGCAAACATGTTTTAATTCTACCATACCCAGTTGAGCCTAACGTCTTCGAAAGCCCAGCCACTGACATTAAAAAGTTAGAGGCTTATAGGGAATTCACCTGTCAAGACTGTTAGGCTCTCATTTTTTAGATCAGTGCTCCACTTTTACTGGCCAATAAGATACTAGTGGTATTTCTTAAAAAAATTTTTTTCAGGCAATAGAACCAAAGCAGTATAACATCTTTCAGCTAGGACTGGTTGTTTCTATAACTGGCTGATGTTATGATGGTCTTGAAGGGCACTAAATACGACGTAGGTGACTTGAAAGACTTAATGCAAATCTCTGAAGAATGAAACTTACCACCATTGAGCAATTTGGTGCCCGTGGGGTCAATCTGATTATTCTTGTGACTTAAAGATATTCTTCTCCAAACGAAGGCATAGAATGCTCTCAGCGAGTTGGAAAAAAATGATAAATCACTAAAACCATTCCAAAACTCTTGGGCACAGTTAAGTATCACCACAAATTTGGCCAAGGTTAGTCTGAGAAGATGACCATAGTAAGTGCTGTAGCACTGTAAGGTCATGATTCTTGGCCCCTAACTCTGTGATGGAGAATAAAACAAGAGGGATTTTGTGTAGGCCAAGTGATAGAAAGAAATTTTCATTGAACTAAATAAAAATAAAGGAGGTCTTCTATGTACTTTTCTCACTATTGATGGATTCATTCACCTTAGCTAGGTTCAATCAATTTCCTGGAAATTAGTTATACATTGGGCTTTATCACTGGTCAAAAGCTGAAAGTCTTATACCCAACCTATCGTTGGTCCGAAGTCACGTCCTTTTCATGAGGCTGATAAATGACTACATTCAGTGTACAAAGTCCTTCTAAGAATATGCAGATACTGATATAGAACCTATTCAAATCTACATGGTTACCCATAAATAGCAAAGGACACACAGGGCTTCCTTGGAAACTAAAACTCTGGTAGGAGGTGACATCTGAGATCCCCGGGGAATATAAAGGGTACAACCTACACAGTCCTGCGTCACCAGAAGGTCATCTGATGGCCCTTTATTTGAGAATCGAATTGCATTTCCAGGATGCCAACAAAAGCCCACCTGACTCACAATGAAGCTAAATCTGCAAGTCTAACCGTGTGCTTTCACTGCCTCTACATAGTCCAAGCTCCTACTCAAGGCACCAGAAACACAAGTTGTCACCACGGGCCAGGGCGGCAGACCTGGATGGGGATCCAGCAGGAGCAGGATGCAGGAGAGGAGCCCCTGGCGGCAGAGACAGTTACTACTTAGGAGTTCAGAATTTACAGCCACCTCAGTAGTTAGTATTTCTTTTTCTTTGTGTTGAGGAATAGGTGCAAGATGAAGGATCAAAAGATAAAGCTGGTGTAATCTCTTAATGCCCTGTGGTCACAAGTGTTCCTGCTTCTGAGGAGAAGCCAGGGCTCATGTGCATTGGTGCACAAAGCAAAGTGTCCTTGGGCACACTGTTGCCTTTGGTGCAAGTGGGGACTCGGAGGGTGTGTTCTGTGGGTACATGTGCCCCACTGAGTCTGAACTCCGACCTGCCTCCAATATAGAGGCTCCAGAAAGTGCCACACAAGAAGAGACACGAGGAGGCCTTGGCCATAGCTCTGACGGGGCACACCAGAGCCAGAACCCATTTTAAAGAAGAGCACCCGCTGGCTGGGTGCAGCTTGTTTGCCTTTGCTCAAAAGTCCTTAGGTTCTCAGAGTAAAAGGCCACAGGACCATGGGCCAGAAAAATATGCCTGGCTAATCAGTGGAGAGGCAGAATGGATGCAGTGACAGCTCTTTGGCTCTGGAGTCCGATCCCCTGGGATTGAAACCTAGTTTTCCTCCCAAGCTGTGTGACCTGTAGCAAGTTATTAACCTCTCTGAAAAAAATATTTTTTAAGTTTATTTGCTTATTTTGAGAGAGACAGAGACAGCATGAATGGGGGAGGGGGAGGGGCAGAAAGAGAGAGAGAGAGAGAGAGAGAGAGAGAGAGAGAGAAACCCAAGCAGGCTCCGTGCTGTCTGCTTAGAGCCCAATGTGGGGCTCTAACTCACAGAATGTGAGATCATGGCCTGAGCTGAAATTGAGAGTCGGATGCTCAACCAACTGAACCGCCCAGGTGCCCCATAACCTCTCTGAAATTCAGCTGCATTATCTTCAGACTGGGGGTTATTGTGAGGATTAAATGAGACAATTCATGTAAAGTGCAGAACAGAGTACCTGTCATATGGCAAATGCTTTGGAAAGCGTTAGAAATCGTTATTTTAGCAACTTGATGAAAAAAAATGTTTAAAGCTCAAATAAATCATATCAGGTAAGAAGGGAAGAAAATACAGATAAAAACAAAACAAAATAACACAATGCATCCTCTGAAAAGACTTTGCATTAATTGAGAATCCAGGCTCAAGGGTCAAAAGTTGTTATGTTAAAATTTAAAAAAAAAAGGAAGAAAGTGCACATAAGTGTGTGTGTATGCACAGGCACACGGGCATTCTTGAGTATTTTAAATGTTTTATGGGAGGACAGTGGAGATTTTCTAGGGTTTACATGGCGTCATTCACTTGAAATTAAGTGTAACAAGTCATTAGGCAAGGAGCCCTAACTAAGGCATATGGTCAAGGTTTTCAGGGTGTAACGCCTCAGTGAGGTGGTGCCCTTCAGAAATGCCCTTGGAAGGAATAAACCATAAGGAAGGGAGCAGGAGAGGTGGGACGTGGGGGCAGTGCCCAACAGGGTACTGCTTAGGTGAGGGGAGAGGTTTGGCCAGAGTCTACACGAGTAAACATGGGCTCCAGCCCGCAGAGGCATTTGGTTCTCAGAACTGGCAGACTGGTGGATATGGCACAGCTCTGGATTGGGGGCCAGAATGAGAGGTCCTGACTGACCTGGCTGGGCTGAAGGTGACACCAGGTCTTAGCTGCAGGGATTTCAATTCGTGCCCAGGAGAGTAACCAGAGGGGATACAGTACCTGCACAGCTATACTCTGCGCTTCGCTTTTGAGAGCTGCTTAATTAACACCCACACCTCCCTTTCCCCTGCCTCTGCCTGCTCCTTCCAAGGTCTCCTTTCCATGGCACCGCAGGGTCTCCGTCTACTACAGTGTCGTTTTTAGAATAGAAGGTGGTGAACTTCAAACTTCTCTTGCACGGAGCATTCTTCACACTGACAAGAAGACAGACTTATAAACTGAAATTGGAACGTGCTTCACTTGCCCACTGATGCTTGCAGAAGCCTGCAAGGTCCTATTGTGAGGGTCGCAGTTCAAGGCTTCAATGACTTATTTCGGGGCTTGTGTGGACATTGAGATCAGATCTCAATGGGTGTGAACACTGTGCACTTAGCGGCCCTGTGATATTGGGCCAATTATTTCAATCTCTTCCTGAACTTCAATTTCCTCTTGGTTAAATGGGGATTGTATGCATTCGGCATGAGAAGCAATGGATATACGCAAAGAGATAATGATAGTAGATGAGATCCTGGATATAAGCAAATAACCTCACCCAGGAGCTGGCGCACAGAAGTCACTTTATAATTGCAACTGTTGGGTATTATTGTGGCTGGTCTGTGTATGAACATTCCAGGGATATATGAGGTTGATAGGATTTTACTGCAAACTGAAATGGAGGCCCTCACCGATTTAAACCAGGGAGGCTGGACCTGGATGTGCCAATTAAAAAGCAATCTGCTCCTGGTGCCTGCAATCCACCAGCCTCGAACTGCCGTGGCCACCTGACAGAGCAAGTGAATTGCTGTAAACCGTTAACGAGGAGCAAGACAGCGTTTGGGAAAACTGTAAAATTGCTGCCCCATTATCGTGCAGTCGGTCAACCTTTCATCTGCCATCAGACTTTTCCAACAGCTATGCTCTCAGTTTCCTAACTATCTAGAGGCTTTGATGTAGCCCATAAAGGAAGGAGGCTTGACAAACTTCTGTAAGACCACAAGGGTGAGAGCCTCACCCAGGACAAGGCATGCAGGAAGGTGTGGCTGCTGGTATGGTTTCCCACACAGATGACAGCAATGCCTGCTGGTGAAGGCAAGTGTGGCCAGCAAGCTGGAGGACGGGTCCTGGATACTAAAGGTGTGCAAAAGGACTTGTGAAGTGCTTTCCACAGTGTCCAGAGGGGTGATGAAGGGGTATCTACAGGGGGACCCTGCGTTTCCATACCTGACATTTCACTTGCCTGCCTAGTCACTGCGGTCTACTTAACACCTATATTGTACCTCTCCATATTGACTCATTTATTCCTATATTAGTTCATTCATTCCATGAATACTCACGAGGCATCTACCATGTGCAAGGCCCTGTTCTAGGCACTAGAGATACATGATGGAGAGATGCATCGGGGACGAAAGAGACAAAATCCCCTGTCCTCGGGAGCTCAGATTCCAGCGTAAGACGTGCAAAGGTACATAGAGAGTACGTGTGAAGGTGGTAAGAGCTATGTAAAAATAATAAAGCCGGGAAGGGCAACAGGACACGCTAGAGGGAGGGGGTGCAAATTTAAGTAAGGTGGTCAAGGAGGCTGCACTGAGGAGGTGATATCTAAGTAAGACTTGAAGAGGCTGAGGTCTTTAGCTGCTTTCCTGAAGTGACCACACCAAGGTCACTTCTCACCAAGGTCGCGCCCTGGCCCCCTGCCAGGCAAGGGAAGTCCTTGACTGGTAACAGCATTCAGGCCTCATCCTCCTTTGCAAGTTAAGGTGTGTGCTCCCAGCGGGCCATGGCCCCACACAAGGATGGGACACTCAGGAAGCGACCTGGCCAAGAGGCGTGGGCTTCCACGGTGGCCCAGGCAGGTGCTCACCTCCTCCAGCCGCCGCCGCTGCTCCTTCTGCTCCTCTATGCGCTTCTGGCGCTCGGCCAGCAGCTGCCTCTTGTGTTCCTCGTTCTCCCGCTGCTGCTGTTCCAGCTGCTGCCGCCGCAGGGCCTCCGAACGCTCCTTGTTGGCCAGCTGGAGCCTCAGGAAGTCCCGCCGCAGTGTGGACTCCCCTGGCAGGTTCAGAATGGAGCTGTGGGCAGGAGGGAGAGATCAGGATCCTGCGTGCGGCAAGGGTCATTATTACCCGGGTCCTGGGGAGGACAGCGGGCAAACAACTCCCCTGTATGCGGGGAAGGGAGCCGCATGTGCCAGCGGGGGCTCTTAGACCCTCTGTTAATTACAGTACTCATCCCCAGGGAAACTGAGTCAAGGCTCAGCCTCCTTTTCAGTGTGACTACTGCATACGTGTTCTGTCTCCATCCCTAGATGGAGATGTCATCACCTCTCTCCAGCACTGTCCACGCTGCTCCCTCACCCTTGTGACATGCAAAGATCTGCTTCTAAAGGTTTTAATGAGTGTGCAAGCCTTAGGCCCTGGATCGGCTGGTTTTCATGTTTAAGAAAGGCACAAAAAAATCCAGCAAATGAAATGAACCACCGGGAGCAGCAGGGAACCTATTCTACTAAGATGAGTACATCACCCCCACCCCCCCACCTCCTCTGTGACTCCCTGCACCAAACCCCAGGGGGCAAAGGACAGGCTGCTCATGTGAAGACATGATGAGCCAGGGAGGGAGAACATTTGAGTCAAGGTCAACACAGAGTAGAATAGGAACCCAAGCCTGCCAAAGTCAGAGAGTTCAGGGCTTGTCTCGCTGCACCAGGATTAAAGAGAAGTGACATTGTTTGTTCAGGAGCAGATGGTGTAGACTTCAACCCAGCTCACTGATTCCTAGATTCTGTTTAAGCACCATGGGCTTCAGTTTCCTCATCTGTAAAACGGTGGTTGTGCATCATGTGTATGTGTGTGTGGGGGTGTGTGTGCGCGCGCGCACATGTAAGAAAGAAAGTAGAAAGAAAAAGAGGATAGAAAACACCATAAAGCAACTCTCCCCACAGCCCTGGTCTAGGGCTGTCCTATTCACATCTAACTGCATGTGAACAACTCAAAGTTAGACTCTTTGGTTGCACACAGCAGCCTAACAGGGAGGTGGGGAAGGCTCTTATTTGCTCATGCAAATCTTTTCATCTTTCTGGCAACTTCCACTTGCGATCAATCCATTAAATAACTATTGACCCTTTCTAGGTAGCAGGCACTGTGATAGGTTCCAGTGGATACAGCAGTTACTCAATGAATGTTCTCTCTAGTTATCTTGTTGTGGGGAAGAGAGACAGACAAATAATTAGATAAGATACAAATAACAATTTCACGTAGGAGCAGGGCTCTATATAAGACAAAAGATGTAATGGCTTAAGAGTGGCAATGGCAGGAGGCTGGGGCGAGAATTAAGGGTTCTGCTCAAGACGGGGGTGATCAGGGAAGAACTTTCTGAGAAGGTGCCAGATGAGCCAACACTCAAATGATGACGGGTTGGTCCCACAAAGAGGTAGGGGAAGAACCTTTCAGGCAGAAAGAAAAGCAAATGTAGAAGCCTGTGGCGGGGACAGGTGCGGCATCTTTGAGGAACCAAACTCCATGGGACTTCCCAGAGCACAGTGAAGGAGAAAGGTGGTCCAAGAGGAGGCCAGAGAGACTGGGCAGACCCGGGAAGGCACATGGCATGGAAGCCAGCAATGGAAAGGTTATAGTCAGGGTAGTGACGTGATGGGATTTGTTGGCTGCTGAATGGACTTCTGTCTGCAGGGCGTGGGAGGTGAGGGCAAGCAGGGCCACCAGCTGGGCTGGCACTGAAGTGGCTCTGTGGGGTGGGGCGGTGAGGATGGAGGCAGAGAAGCACTTGCTGGGAGAGCTGATGAAGCCTGTTGATGGATCTGGTGTGTGGAGTGAGCAATGCTTGCAGGTTTTGTCTGGCACCTGGACAGTGGTGGTGACGCAAACGGGAGCAGATTTGGTGGCAGTTGACGAGGGGATTATTCTGTTTTGGAGAGCGGTTAGCATGCCGCGTGACTGCCACCAATGCCAAAAAATGACATGAAAAGGCTTTGTTCATGATGTCCCACAGACGGTGCTTGGATTCTACTAACAAAACTCCTCTAAAACTTACAGCTTTTGTGTAGGACTCTAAACCAAACCCCAAGCAAGAGAGCTTATCCACACAGGCCACAAGCTCCGTGCAAAAAGGCAGGACTTGGGGAGCCCGGCCTCACCATGCACACGAGGATGCACTGGTGTTGAATCAATTGATGTTGAATCAATTAACTGATGTCGAATCAATGTCAGGCGATTTGAGCTGTAGTAGTAGCTCAGTCATAAACTTGGTGTGTGACCTGCTTGCCATCTTTGAGCTCTCACCTCATTTTTAAAATGAGATAACCACTGTCCCTTTCGAGTTTTCAGGATTTCACAAAGATTAATTACATGTGCCCATAAAACAGGACTTGGAACATAATCTTCAGTGTGATATAATGACACGTTACAATTATAGAAGCGTTAAGGCATGGCTAGGTCAGCCCGCTAAGTGACTCAGTTTAGCAAGTACTAGTTAAAATGTGGCTTCTCAGTTCTCTAGAGAGTGATCAGAAGGGCTGACGTGACATCTGGGTGAGCTTTGGAAAAATAAAAAAATAGTGCACAACCTCTCTGAATGCAGGGCATTTGGTCCTTTGCCTTTGATGGTCACTACTTGACAGACATTATCTCTAAGTAGCTAAACTGGGGGTGGCCCATGTAAAGTATCAGATGGAAGGAAAAACTTTCCTTCAGTCTCTGACCTTGAAAATTCCTGTAGCAGGTGAAGAGAAAAACTGGATGGCCCAGTAAGTCCCTCCTTCCTCCTGTAGTTCAGCAATAATCCAGCTTGGGAGATCTGAGTTAACTCAAAAAAAGAAGCCACTGGTTCATTCTAACAGCAGTGGCTGAGCTGGCCTCTTTCCTGGTCAGGTAGCTCCGCCCCAGCAGTATGGCAATTATGCCTCCCGGATCATTGGAGTCCTCTCCTTGGATGGCTAGAGGATGGAGCCCCATATACCCCACTGAGCTTTCTTCTTTTGCATTTTCCCCGATAAATCTCACTTCCCACCACCATGGTGTGTGTGCCTGTCCCCTTCAACTCACCAAACTGCTGCCAGCTGAATTGTCTCAAGGAACAGAAATCCCAGCAATGTGAGTACACTAACCTTAATCATTCATAAACACACTGGAAGAAAGTCGGAATCAATGTCAAGTGAAATTCAAAACGCAGGGATGGTAATGATAAAAGCAGCATTGGTTCTGGGATCCAACATGTGACAACTGAGGTGGGCATGAATGTTTCTATGTAGGGTTCCCCTCTCGAGCATGATTCGATTTCCTGGAAATTATTTCCTTTCAGATTAGACTGTGGTGAAAATACCAAGACATGTGACAAGGACAGTGGCTGCCCAAATGGGCTTCTTAAAGAAAGGTATGATGTAACGAAGTGAATAATTCAAGTCCCAAAATACCACCGACGTCTCCTGAAAGTCACAGTTTTAGGTACTTTGAGTCTTGTATTACCCAGATAATTGCCTCTACCCATTCTACACGTTACATACGTGAGGAAACAAGGTCTTAGAATAGAGACCATAAATCTTAGGGGACAAGATAAAGAATACGCTGATTTCCACATTTTTGTAAGAGTCTGCCCGGGGAAATTTTCCCAAATTAATGAGTATGTTCATGGGCAATAAATTACATGAGACCACCTTGCTGGATTCTTAAAAATGAACCTATAAATCAAAAGGAAGCACATTTCACACAAGCACAACTCAGAATGTGAAAGTAACACTTAGCTTTTGCTCTCCTACCTGGGCTCTCCTGAGTCATTCTCCTCCTCTTCTTCCTCACTTCCGCTGTACTCATACTCTGTCTCATCTAAAGAGAGACTCACAGAATGTTAGTGCACAAAAAGATGCTGCGGCTCGGTCAATCCCCCCCCCCCCCCCCCCCCCCCCGACCCTTGTTTTATATATAAGTAATCTGAGGCCCAAAGAGCTGTCATTAATGCTGACCTGGGACAGGCTCCAGGCCTCCTGACTTGTGATTTAATAGTTCCCATCAGCTGGATTCAAGTGCATGGAATTAACATTCAAAACTGTCCCAGCTGACTCTAGATACCTGTCCCTAATGGCTAGTGTTCACATGAAAGTCAAGACAAGGAACTGCAAAATAACTTTTCAGTTTGTGTTAATTACCCATTATGGGACCACCTAAACCAACTTTTATTGGCCCAGTATTAACTTATTAATCATTTTTTTAAGTAGGAGTTTTATTATGACTTACATGGACCCACAAACTGTCTTTAGATATGTTGATAAACACCAGAAAGAAACTTGACAATGTGTGCTATTAAAAATATAGAGTTGGGGTGCCTGGATGACTCAGTCAGTTGAGCATCTGACTCTTGATTTCAGCTCTGGTCATGATCCCAGGGTTGTGGGACCAAGCCCCTTTCTCCCTCTGTCCCTCTCCTGCTCACACACACGTGTGTGCGCGTGCTCTCTCTCTCTCTCTGTCTCTCTCTCAAAAAAAAAAAAGACATAAATGGACCATTGGGGACATTCATTCAATTGCCCATTGGGGGCATCCATTTAATTCAGTAATATGTTAAGCAAGTTAATATGTAATAATAAATACGATTGAGTCTGCTTTGGAGGAGATCAGAATCTAATGGGCAAGATGGACAAGTAGGTAATCAGATCCTCCATGATTATGAAGAAATTAATCTTCATTGGGTATCTCCCATGCCAGTCACCCTGCTAGATACTTTATCTATGTTCTTTCATTTATTTTGAGTAACAATACTTTAACACATTTTCAAGTGAAGACACTATCACAAGAGGTTAAGTGACCGAACCAATGACTTATTAATAAAAGGTCAGTCAATCTGGGCTTTGAATTTAGAGTTCAATCCAGAACTTTTCCAACTTTGAAACTAGTATTCTTTCCAAGATATTATATGCTAAAGAGAAGTGCATAAAAAGAGCAATGAGATATCAGAGAAAGAAGCAAAGCCCATCGGTCATAATGAGGGAGAGGGGGGCAGCAAAGCCTTTGAGGAGGAAATGAGCTGCACATTGTAACTGTTGGTGGCCCCCTTCCAGGCAGATGGCAGCTGAAAGTGGTGGGAAAAGGACATTCCAAGCAACATAACCACGTGGGTAAGGGTGACAGTATTAAAGGGCATGACATCTTCACAATGAGTTGTTGGTGGCTAGATGTTGGGTGTGAGAAAAGCAGACAGAATGAGTTAGGCCAGCAGGTCTGATATGACTTTCTGATCCTTATATAAAAGTGCTTGCTGAAGACTTTTCTGCGGAGTTTGGGGTATCTTGGAAGAGCTTTTACTTTTAAGCAAGGCAGGGCGTCACATTACTGTTATCCTTTCATAGCTGTGGGTTAGTAATTATAACTTTGAAGGCATTTGTGTACCCCTAAAAAGGAACTAAAACTGCAGTTTGGTTGGGCTACCACCAGGAGGCAGCACACATGAAAAGAACTAAACCCTTTGCCTTCCATACTCTTCAGCCATTAAAGGGCTAATGAAAAGGAGCCAAAAGCATGATGATGTCAAGTGCATTTTTTTAAAGTCACAAGTTAGTTTCAAATATTTAGATATGTATGAAGTTTTCAGGCTACTTATTTTTGAGTATTATGTCACCAAAATGTAAAGGACTTCCATAAAGTGTTTCAATATTCCACACTGAAAGTGTACTTTTCCAAATTTACCTGAAATAAATCAATGGAAGAAGAGTAGGAAGTAAACTGCAGAAATTTTATCTAGAGAAGGAAATTCTAGCAAGGAAAAGAAACACACAATTAATCCAATTATTTCTACTCTCGATGGGAAAACCTGCATTTGTCAGGCCCTTCAACTGTAATACTTCACCAAAATCTGGTCTTATTGTTTTTATATTACTGGCATAAATTAGCATATGTCAACATATCTTAAGGAAAAAATAATATTGGCTTAAAAAAATCATAAATCAATTCTCATAAAATTGTTTGATTGTACCAAAAGCTGCTCTTAGAGCCACTAAGAGAGTATGAAAGTATTACAGGAAGCAAATGAAGTAATTTGATGAAACTGAGCAAATGGAATGAAACCTCATTTGATCAATACTCCTTCTGGGGAGCAGACAAAAATGAAGGCTTCTGATGGCTTTGAGCCTAAACAGAATTAGGTTTCTTAAATTACCATGTAACTGTGGAGCATACCTCCTACCAGGAATCTTACTCTTCTACTCTGCAGAGAAGGAACACATTAAAAATAGTCTTATCTGGGGGCACCTGGCTGGCTCAGTTGGTTAAGTGTCCAACTCCTGATTTTGGCTTAGGTCATGATCCCAGGATTGTGGGATCAAGCCCCTCATCAGGCTCTATGCTGAGCAAGGAGCCTGCATGAGATTCTCTCTCTCTCCCTCTGTCCCACTGTCCCTCTCCTCCCTTTTCTAAAATAAAAAAAAAATAGTCTTATTTTCATAGAATGGGGTGTTTCGAGTCACATTTTAGAGTTTGTGCCCTCCAAATGTGAAAGCAACCAAGGCACAAGCTTTACCCATTCTACTCACAGGTCAAAGGCAAAGAGGTCATGAGTTCTCAGGAAGTGATTCTGAATAGTACTGAAAAATTGTAGGTCGAAAAAGAACTGTCTATATGAGAATAGCTAATATTTATTAAGTATGACTATATGCTAGACATTGTATTAAATATTTCAATGCATTATCTCACTTAATCTTTGTAACAATGCCAGGCAATACTAATTACTATTATATCCCCTCTCCTATTTTAAAGATGAGAAAACTGGGATGAAGTTCACATAACTCTTCAGGGGGTCAGAATTTGTTGGAGAGCTAGAATTTGAACTAGTCTGAGCCTGGAAAAGACAGGCCCATAGAAAAATAAATTTCCCTCTTAGAGAAATTGGACTTTAATGGTTGCATGTCTGACACACCTCACTAAAATGTCCCCATTACAATTTTAATTCCCTGGAGTGGAAGACCACTATTAATAAACAGCAGTTGAAAAATCAGCCCTGGAGCTTTTTGACCTTGACTTACCTATTTCTCTCATGCCTGGTTCCTCCAGCTTGGGCTGCCCTCCCAGCCCCTTGGGTTCTGACAAACACCCCATCCCCTTCCACCCACTCACAACTGGAGATGGGCCTCCAACATCCCACGTTTTATTATTGCTCGTAATTTTTATTTATTTATTTTTCAGTGCTATAATAATTTTGTATTCAATCAAAATAGGCAATGAAGCTTTATTTCCTATTCAGCACTTCAAGTGAAAATAGTTTGATCCTCAAACATTCAGCAATGTATCTTTGTTTTAAATCGAAGGATAGTTGACATACAATATTTCATTAGTTTCAGGTGATGGGCTCCTTTTTGGCTTCGCCTCATAACCTCCTACTCTGGAGTCTAACCTGATCGCACATTTCCCTGACTCCCTGAGGCCAGCAGCCAAGAAGGAAGCCTTCCCTTGAGCCTTCACTGAGGATTTCCCCTCCTGCCTCAGCCCCCTGCTGCTCCTACCTCTACAGTCTTGACTCCTGCAATGCTTACCACCCACCCCACACACCTGCTTGCACCTCGCCACATTACAGATGGTAGCTGCAGAGGCAAAGAAGGGAGATTCAAACAAAAGGAGAGCACACTCTGTCCTGTGGGGCCCAACACCCTCCAATGCTCCACCTGGCTTGGGAGAACAGAGGAGAATGGTGTTGAGGACAGAAAAGAGGAAAATCATGTCGCCAGTTGTGTCCCACCGTCGGTGCCTGGTCTTCTCCTTTACTCTCCATGGCTGTACGCTCAGGGCTCACCTTACCAGCCCTATACTGCCTCCTCACCGTCAGCCCTCCCCTTTCCTCCACTGACCCTCCTGCCTCCACTTGGGGAGGACTCACTCTGTCTGTCCTCTGGGTCTTTCCCTTTCCTCCCCATACTTCAACCTTCCCCAACTCCCCATCCAACCAGGCACAAAGCTTGCCCCAGACCACGTGAATTTTCTGCGTAGTCAGGATGCTAGTTAAGGAAGTCCAAGTCTCTATTTGAACAACCAGGATACGGCCCCAGGACCCCAAGTTTGAACTCATGTTCTTTCCATCGATGCCATGAAAAGATAGTGTGGTAGAACAGCCAGAGCCATAAGAGATAAGAGTTTTTCAATCTATAAAATAAAGAAGTACATTAAATGATCCTCCAGCTCAAAATTCAATGTTCCAAATAGCAAGTCTGGCATCTCTGTGACTATAAGAAAATTCATTCTGACTTCTGAGCTAAATTCTAAATGAGCCTCAGAGCACAAAAACTTAAATGCTGAAGAGTGCCAGTATACAAAAATGTCAACCAAATGATTTTTTTTTTTAGGTTGTCTTCTGTAGATTTTTAGCCTTCAAAACATGAATATTCATTTGAACTAAGAAAATCACTTGTCATATTAAACCACTTCATAGTATTACTCAACATGTCTCTTTGTTAGTGCCTGGAAGAGGTAATATTCCTTACAGTTCTATCCTTTCATGAAGATTCCATTTCACGGGCTCAATCCATTGATGCCTACAGGCTATGAGCTCAGAGGCAGGCCTTCACACTAAAGAATAATGCAGGTCCATCTGAAACCCCCATGGTCACCTCCAAATATATCAAGAGCCCATGACTCGCTCTGTCTTTTGTTTCCTTTGCTGAAATACAAATGTGCTTCTAACCTTTTTCTCCTCGCTTTTTCTTTGTTCTGTCAATATGGTCCTTGAGTTGAATGCGAACCTGTCGTTCATTAGGTTGGTCTCGTATAAATGGATGCTTCATCAATTGTTCTGTTGCTGGTCGCTGGCTGTGATTCTTTACCAAGCAGCTCTCAATAAATGACTGGAATTTTTTTGACCTGCCAAACAAAAGAGATGAACCCACAGATAAAAAGACCATCCAAAGAAAAAGCAAAATTCTATTTCTCCAAAATGCTAGAATAAAAAAAAAAAAAAAAAAAAAAAAAAAAAAAAAAAAGAAGAAAATAGGTTCAATTAGCCAACATAGGAATCAACCAATCACAAAGTAGGTCTAGACCTTTATTAGGCACATGGGGTTCAAAGACATCATCACCATCAACACACAGTTCAGGCAATGTATGGGAGTTACGTGCATAAAAGCATTTTTGCACAGTTTGTATGTAATATCACACAAGAGACCAAAAGGAATGAGAGAAGAGAAAGACCTTGGTGAAAAGTGTATCTGGAAGGTCTATTGTAATGAGGGAACAAGAGCTGAGACTTAAAGAATGAATAGGAAACCGGGGCGCCTGGGTGGCTCATTCAGTTGAGCATCTGACTTTGGCTCAGGTTATGATCTCACAGTTCGTGGGTTCGAGTCCCATGTCGGGCTCTGCGCTGACAGCTCAGAGCCTGGAACATGCTTTAGATTCTGTGTCTCCCTCTCTCTCTGTCCCTCCCCCACTCAAGCTCTCTTTCTCTCTCTCTCTCAAAAATAAATAAACATTAAAAAAAAAGAATGAAGAGGAAGTCACTTTCAGGAGAGAGTTCAGGGAGGCAAGAAATAGTGAAAAACTAAGGACTGGGCTGAGCACACTATATGTCAGGGGAACTGAGATGAGTTGTCTAAATGATGCAGAAAATGCAAGCTGGGGGGAGGACATAAAATCAAGCTTGTATAGATAAAGAGGAGTACATTTGTAGAAATGAGAAAGATTCTTATGTGGTAAAGTGAGCTTGGTTAGGCAAATTTTTTAAATGGTAATTTCAAAATTACTTTTGAACTTTGCTCTCCAGTTAATAAGAACAGGATGTATGTGTATGTTTGCTATCAACCCAAGGACTTGGAAACTTAGGAACTAAGTTCATATCCAGAAACGAATTTACCTCCCGCTAGACAGGCACTGTTTCCTCAAAGATAAACCCCGTGCCTAACACAGGGGAGGGGAGAACTGGTGAGGGATAATATACCAAGGAATAGGGCAGCAAGTCCACAATGTGGGAGAAATTAACAGTGGACTTCAGCTATGATTCATGAGTTGGGCATGTATGTTCTTGCTGCATTCCAAGAAATTGTCCAGCCTCATAAATAATTACTTCACAACTATGTAGCATGCCTTTCTGATGTGCTACATTGGCATCTTGGCACATGATGGGCAGAGACCTTAGTGGAACTTTGGTCACCCTCTTTGTGGCCCCCACCCTGCTCAGAGCAGGTGGGAATCCATTTTGTGCTCTCCGTCGCCCTCCTGTGGAGTGCTGTGGTATAACAGGAGCGGATCCCAGGAGCAAGCTTTCCTGTCTCCCAGCGGACCTTACACACAGAATTCAGGCTTGAAAGCTGTCTTCACCACACAGAACACAATGGTGAACATGTTATTCAAGATCCAAACACAAGAGGGCACTGGCATATGCACCACTCTGCATTTCTGCCTAGGTCAAAGCAGTTTCTCGTTCCATGTTTTTGAAGGACTGCATTATTAATATTTTTTTTCTCCCTGCATTTCTAAGCTAAGTTCATGCTTTTACATTATTTTACATAGAAGCATATGTACCCTGCTATGCTTGGGGTCACCGCAGGATCAATCGGGATCGGCCACCCCGTGGCCTGTGGAAGATAGTGACAACAGCGTGGATACTCTATGTACCTCCTTGTATGTCCTTCAGCCTGTAGCCCTGCTTCCTCCACACTGTTGTTCTCCAAGACCACTGGTGTGCTGTTGGTATCCTGAGCACACTTACCTGCCCTCACATGTCTGATGAATGAATGAATGCAGGAATGGTTATCACATGTAAGTTCCGGACAAATGCTGTAAAATGGCTACCATCAAATCTGTGCTTGTGAGGCACAGAGAAGGAGGTTTGGAGAGGAGATAGTATTGAATATGCTTTCTTTTTCAGGTCCATGAGACAAATCTGTAGAGGCACAATTGTGATATCATCTAAGGAGAGACTTTGCAAAAAACAAAACAAAACAAAACAAAACAAAAAACAAAACAAAACAAAACCATCATGGGATAATGGACTGTCCTAAGGAATAAATAGAAGAGAATGAGGTTGACCTGCATAAAGAGATAGACAAATTCCACATGGCGCTTTTCTAGGTAGAAAATCAGTATTAAAAACATGAAAACAAAAACAAATTAAGACGGGGAGCTGTTAAATATTCATGATAAATGCAAATGAAAGCTGTTTTTTCTGCTTGCAACTAGAAGGAAGTGCTTTTTATAAAGTGCTCAGCTATTAATTAGAGGGTGATAAATAAAGAAATCACACCCAGTTTAAAAATGAGATGCAGACTCGATAAACTGTATGTTCCATTCCCCAGTACTGACACCCAAAAAATGTCAGTGGCATCTCTAGGGTAAGAGAGTGTTCAAAGAGTTCCGCGGAAGCAGCTGGGGTTCACAGGCCACTTTCCAGGATCTCTTCCGGTGGGAAGGAACCTTCAGGAGAATAACCTTGAGCCCAAAGATTGGGCCAAGATGTGTAGAACTGCAACCCTGGCAATGTATCTGACGTCTTCTTCAAATGGAACAGTTTGTAGAGAAAATAATGCTTACTTAAAACAAATCTTCAAAGGAAAGATTCATTGTCTCTTATTTAAGTTAGTGTGACCAAAGAATCAATATGCTTAATTACACATTTAATTAAAAGTAAAAACCCTTCCCTATGTTGAACACCACTTGACTGTTTGCTGAGCGGTCTAATGGGTTTAAAGTACATTTATATAACTTTATTGTTTGAATCTCTGCTGCCGGTAATTTAGTTCTGTCTATTAAAAAAAATGCCCGAGATTAGTAATACTAATTTCCCCAGGGGTGGCCTGGAGAGATAAATGTTAATGTTTGCTGCTTACAGTCTGAGGCCCTGGTTCTAATACCAGCATCAGCAAACACTTTATCTTCCCAGATTTTTTCTATTTATATATTCAATTGTGTTAGAGGAATTAAAAACGCCTGAAAGATTATTACATTAATCACTGTAACCAGTCAGGCTGAAGTTTCTGATAATTGCAGGACTCCCTAAATGCACTTTGAGCTTTAGAATTTGCATTTTCCCAGAACCACCCTTTCTCTCTAATTTGGGCTCCATCGCTTACTAACTGTGAGACTTTGGGCAGATTATTATTATTATTTTTAAAAAAAATTTTTTTTTTCAACGTTTTTATTTATTTATGGGACAGACAGAGACAGAGCATGAACGGGGGAGGGGCAGAGAGAGAGGGAGACACGGAATCGGAAACAGGCTCCAGGCTCCGAGCCATCAGCCCAGAGCCCGACGCGGGGCTCGAACTCACGGACCGTGAGATCGTGACCTGGCTGAAGTCGGACGCTTAACCGACTGCGCCACCCAGGCGCCCCTGGGCAGATTATTTAACGTCTCTGTGCCTCAGTTGCCCTGGCTGCAAACGGTGGGATCGTTAGAATTTATCTCAGATGACTGTTGTGATGATCCGATGAATTGCTTCACATAAAATACTTAGCACGGTGTCTGACATGTCATAGACGCCATATGTATGTTTGCTGTTATTGTTACTACTATTACTTTCATTGTGTTTTCAACGTCCTGCCACCTCTGAACATCACCAGGCTTAACCAACAGCAGTATCTGCCCTCAGAGATGGGGGCAGAAACAGAAGTTGAACTGAATAGGTCAGTGTTCTTAAAGGGAATTAATTTCACGTATATTTGGATTAGATATGCTCACAGAGTCAACGAGACCACTATCTCCAAGGAGACTGTGCAAAAAAGGTTAATTGTAAAAGCTGTGGAACAATTTTTGTTTTGATTTCAACGAAGCCTGAAGTCACACGGTCTACTAGCAAATTCAGTTAATTTGAACTATTTTCTGATATTTGCTTTCTGTTATGATTTTATTTAGAACACACATACACAAATAACTTTGTCAGTTCTTAAAGAACAAAAATGCCTGACAATCCACCAAGAATCAGAGCTGTTGTTTCATAAAATAACAGTAGTGACTGTAAGGGGTTCAGGGCTGTGGCTCCAGCAATGAAAACTCTGGGACTCTGGATAAGCCAGTTAACATCACCAGGCCTCTAGTCCTCATCTGGGGCACAAACGGGCCGGACCAAGGAACCTCACGTCTCTCCCCAGTGATAAGCAGTTACGATTTTCCTAATGATCTCGATGAAACACTTCTTTGCCTGTGTGCAATCTTTGCGTTTGAAGAGCAAGGAAAAAGAAAAAGACCAGTTGTCTGTTACAGGAGTGAAAGCATCCCCATCTTTCTCCAGAAACTCCTGCAGGAACCTGCAGCACTGAGTAGGGCAGGGGAGCTGGCCTGAGCACGGTGCGAAGATGAGGGCGGAGGAAATGTGTGGAAGGAGATGGTTCGGCCACGTGGGTGGAATCTGACCACGTACAGAGACGGGAAGAAATGGGAGTCCCAACTCGTTAACGCATTTGCTGGTGGTGACGTGGAGACAGCGGCCGAGACATGCCTGGTCTCCTCTAATTCAGCTGAGGTTATAATCCTCCCTGAGATCTAATTATCGAATGGCTGGACTGGAGCCCTGACTGCATGACCTCCTCGCCATGGAGGCCTCTCCTCATCTCGCTGACGTGGGAGGGAAGGGCCGGGTTCTAGCAAGTGGACTGCTCTCCTTTACCCCCACGATGGAAGGGGCAAAGAACCCTGCTACTGCCCTTCTTTCCCTAACATGAAGGCACAGGAAAAAACTGTTCAACTAAGAGACCAGTATCTCATTCTCTATTACTCTAAGCTTGAACTTCAGAGGCCAGATGGTGCAGGTGGGAAAATGGGGGTTACAAACTTAGAAAATTAGAAGACTGTACAGCCTTGCACAAGGCTCATAACCTACCCAAGCCGTAGTGTTACAGCAAGAGAAGGATGACTCAGAGCATCTGCCTGGCAGGGTTGTGGGTAAAATTAAATTTATATAGGTCTTAAATTTACACACACACACACACACACACACACACACACACACATAAATTACTGAGTCTACAACATGCATATATGCCTTATATGTCCTGTATGTTGTAGATTCAGCAAGTTAGGTGGAAATGACCCTCAACTGAATGCATATAATAAAGAGTTTATGGCCCATCTCTACCACAATGGCACCCCCACACCCACTTTGGTAGTATTTTGATATACACGCTGCGAACGGTGCACTTCATCTGATAATTCATTAGGCAGAGAATAAAAGAACATTTTGGAGTTTTGTTTCTTTTGACGGGTGGGGAGAAGGATCCTTTCCCTTGAAATATAAAAGGAAAATAAATAAAGTTTTCACTTCCTCCCAAGCACTAGGGCGTGTTAAAACCCTAACTGATTTGAAATATTTTTTAAATGTTTATTTATTTTTTTGAGAGAGAGGGACAGAGTGCCAGTGGGGGAGGGTCAGAAAGAGAGGGAGACACGGAACCCAAAGCAGGTTCCAAGCTCTGAGATGTCAGCACAGAGCGCGACGTGGGGCTCCAACTCACAAACTGTGAGATCATGAGCTGAGCCGAAGTTGGACACTTAACCGACTGAGCCACCCAGGTACCCCATTTTTTCTCTTTTAATTCCTAACTTATTTCAAATCACTTTGGACCTGGTCATTCAGGAAAGTACTCTGCAGTGCTCAAAATTCTCACTTAAAAACTAGAATTCTGTGCAGAGAGCTGGAAGGCACACCCCACGTCCCGTGGTGGGGGGCTGCATTACCATCTTATAAAGGCCGGGTTCTGAGTGAGAAAGAGCACTTGAGCAGGGCCTTTGTTTCCCCACTCACTCTCAGATAGCCACGTCATTTCCCCCTCCCCTCTCTAAGAGTGTGGGTCTCGAGCTCCTGACTGGCTTTCCTTTGGAGTCAGGGAGGGTGTGGAGGGAGGCTGGGCAAGATGGAGGCCTGGCCTCCTCACTGTCCCCGGACTGTCCCTGTTCCCTGCAGCACCATCAGATATAGCTCCTGTTGTCAAAGGTTTGACGCAGAAAAGTCAGCCTGTATTTTCCTCGAAGTCTGTATTTCTCAAACAAGGCCAATACAGAGTTGAACTTTTTGGAGCAGGGGCAAAGAAAATTAAAACTGTAGGGCAGAGGCTGTGTACTCGCTTCTCTAGCGAGCCAGAAAGGTCAGACAGAGGGCAGTGCGAGCTCCGTATAAGAAGAAAACAGGACAAGTGTGGTGGCCAAGTGACTCCCACTTCTCAGTCGGGGAGAGGTGGTGATGGGCAGAAAAGACCACCTGGTGTCACACCTTTGCACAAAAGGCCGGAAACCTAAAGGTAAAGCTCAATCGCCAGATTTTTCAAAGTTGGCAATTAATACAAATGTTCCTGAAACACGGGGTGTAGCCACGCTGTGTTGAGCACACATAACACATGTGTGGATGGCCAGTTTGACTCTTGTGGGTGGAACTCTGGAAACGTCTGTCCAGCAGCAGTTCTGGGAGAGGGAAGGGGAGGAGGGAACAGGCAAGTGAAGTCCGCCCTTTACAGTGTGTGTGTGTTGGGGGGAGGAGGGGAGGGAAGCCTGGCACCAAGGACAAGCAGAAAGCGAGCAGAGGGCTTTGTAGTGCTACTGATGCTTCCAGAGATGGAACTGAGCTGACTGCTCTCCCGAGGAAGTCTGTTCCGGGGAGAAGGGAGGAAGCAGGGCTTCCGGGCCCCACTGATCATGTGCCATACAGGTACCCAATGGAAGGCTGTTGCTGGGGAGAGAATGGCTATCACACAGCGACCCTCCAGAGTGAGAACGAGGAACAGGGGTTGCTCTGCCCCTTGTTGCCAATAGCAACTCTCATGCTCTGTTCTTCTTCTGCAACTCGGGGCTGCCGGTCCCTTCTGGCTGTTTTCCTCTCTTCTCTGGGCAGTATGCCTTCCCCTTGTCACACCGGGGTTGCTATGTCATTACTAGGTGGCTGGTATTAATTAAACTGCTCTCTGTATAGCAGAGGAAAGCTGTGAGTGGGTAGGGGAGGAATATGAGGGTCCCCGTCAAGGGTGATCATGAAGTACTGTGAAAAGGGACAGAGAGGTCTTGAACCTTCATGTTCTAACTGCCCAGAACATGCCTCTAGAAAAAGATAGGAGATCACAAGTAGCCCAGGAATTGATCCCAGGGCAAGGGTGTATCAAGATCCACCATACATACAGGGGAAAGAAAGGACCAACGGATTCTTGTTATGCAATAATAAGATACAAAGACCCTGATGTAAGTAGGCAAAAAAGGCAAAAGTCCCACATCTGGCCTAACCTGCAGAACTGTGTGTCTCAAACTTGAGTTAATTGTATACTATCAGCACAATTTTTAGCCATATTCCTACACCACCCATACTAGTATCCACTCGGTATTCTTCTTTAAAAAAATTTTTTTTAACGTCTTATTTATTTTTGAGACAGAGAGAGACAGAGCATGAACGGAGGAGGGGCAGAGAGAGAGGGAGACACAGAATCGGAAGCAGGCTCCAGGCTCTGAGCCATCAGCCCAGAGCCCGACGCGGGGCTTGAACTCACGGACCGCGAGATTGTGACCTGAGCTGAAGTTGGCCGCTTAACCGACTGAGCCACCCAGGCGCCCCTCGGTATTCTTCTTTAAATTAGGCCAATTTTTTAAGTGAATCAGTTTATTAAACGGGAAGGTTGTACCACTACCCAACTTAAGAAGCCAATATCACTTGCCATAAAGAGAAAGCAGCAGTAAAAGCAAAACTTACAAATATTTATGCACAGACCAATAAAATCATCTCTCACACTGCCAAGTATGTGTGTGTACTTACAGAACTGTCATCTTAAGGAATAGAAGAAAAGTCGGCCCACTGAACCAGCTGACTCTCAGAACTATCGCCCCCTCTGATAAGATGTTTTGTGCAGCCAGGAAGGATACTTCTTGAGGTAATAAATCAATGTTATTTCTGGGGCTCCACTACTCACTTTAGCTAACAGTTCCTTACCTGGAAGGTGTGGTGATAAAGACTTGTGCAAACAGTAGGTACTTAATAGGTGCCTTAAGAGGAGTGATAGTATATGGAAAAGCACTCACTAAGTCTTGGTTTATGTTAGTCTACTCATGGAGCCGGACCTATGGATTTGAGCTCATCCAACAGAGCATCACAGGAAACCCTTCAATCTGCAAAACACTGAAGACCAAACTCACCACTTCTTAGACTTCAGGCGAGGTGCTGGGTTCCGGGGAATGAGGAAGAGGGCTCTCATGGGGTGCATGTCACAGAGAGCTGCAAGAGACGAAAACAAAGGGCAATTCAGGTTAGGAGGCCAAATACAGGCCAAGCCCACCCTAGCTGTGCAGCTCATGCTACCGAGTGGCTCCCAGTCGCACATGCCCCGTGAGCAGAGTCAGAGGACTACAAAGCTTCTGTTTGTGGAGCACTTAAAAGAGCTGGTGTCTCATAAAATACGCATCTCAACTAGACATTGTTAACATTTCTACTTGTACTTCATATTTAAGAAAAGTACATTACAGGGCCAAAACCTCTGCTTTGCTATAAATAACCATTGGAGATTCAAAGTAGACAACATCAAGATAACAACTACAATGGAGATGGTAGGTTATTTTTAATTTGTAAAAGCCTAAGTCATAAAATGAAAGATGAATGGTCTATTTCTTATATACCAAAGGCCCGTACAAACGCAATGCTATGTACATAGATTTTTAGAGTATAAAGCACTAGGCCAGAACACCTTTCTGTCTGTATTTCTAAATATCCTGATGGCCTTTCAGGTTTCATGATATGTTTATCGTTTGTTTGTTTGTTCATTTGTTTGTTCGCTGGCCCCAGAAAGAACAGAGAGATCAAGGCAAAGAGGGTCTGGTAGAAAAGTCATTAAAATATCTCAATTTGTAAACGTGGCATTATGGTTTATAGAGAAAGGACTCATGTGTCCTTATTTTAATCAAAATATTTCACAGGTTTACTTTTCAAACATCAGGGGGTATCCTTTCCTTTGTGCCCAGAATATGAATATATTTTCTCTAAAAGCTAAAGGATTCTGTGGGTAGAAGTTTATTTTCAGCCCTAGACCTCTACTACTCATCAAGAATGACAATATGGTTTTCAGACTGCGATATACTATTCTTCTGATTCATAAATGCCTATTAGCATTGTGAATGAAGGGAATTTTGTCATCAAACACTCCAACTCAATCATGCTTACAGATGAATCCTACCAACTCTAGAGTGAGAAATCAGACTATGATAACGTGAAGATAAAAACTCATATAAACAAAACGACCTGCCATGCACAGACGGGGCCTGTTTTGGTTCGGGTCCCCCGCAAAGCAGACACCAAGGCAGCACTAACCATGAGAAGGTATTACCAGGGAAAACTCCTGCCTGGAAGGAAGTAGGGACGGAGCCAGGGAAGGCTGGGAGAGTTTTCAATTTGCTCTGCATGTCTGATCAGAGTGAAAGGAAGAGGCAGACAAAGTAGGTGGAAGTGTGCTGCCTGAGCAAACTAAGCAGTGAAACTAAGGAGTGAGAGTTGCCTACAAAGGCATCCTGTGCCCTCGAGAAAAAGTTCTGTCTTATATCCCTGCCAGGCTGGGTCACTGATGTGGAGGGCTTTGCGGGGCGGTGGGTAGAGCAGTGGCAGCAGAGGCCCCTTGGTGAGTTGCACTTCCTGTAGGGAAGCCTGTGGGGCACATGCTCACAGCCAGCACAGGACTGGTGGAGGCACTCTGCAGTACCAATACTGCAGAGCTCAAGTAACAGCAGAGGTTCCCCAGATAGCCAGAGCCCTGGCCACTCTGCCTTGGACCTCAAAATCTAAACGTCAGTATTTTATTAGGAGGGAGAGCAACTGAGTATGCAAGTGTCTGCATAAGCCGTGCACTGGAAATCAGTTCTGACTTTTTGTTAAGTTGGAGTTTCTAGTCTGTGTGAATTGGCCTCAGTTTTGCGTTAGGCGAAGGGCAGTTCAAGAAGAAACTACACACTGAATCGGTAAAATAAACAAGATCCCCGAGTTGTCTCCCTTTTCTTTCTTGTTTCCTCTAAACACGAGATCCTCACACCGCTCTGAGATGAATGGATTCCTGGTTGATTTAAGATGACTTTGCTTTCTAAACATGCCAGCTCGAACCCACACCGGGCTCGGTGTAGCAGAAGCAAAGCTACTACAGAGCCTGGCAAGGAAGCATCGCTCAGTCCCTGCAGAGCAGACCAGCAACAGATTTCACCCAGAGGAAGGTACTTACGGGGAGCGCCTTCTGCCATCTCGATAGCGGTGATTCCCAAAGACCACAAGTCACTCTGAAAAAGATAGAAGGCATAGACACATGCATAAATGCAGTCAACAGACAAGAACTTGGTTAAGCCCGGTAATCGCTCCAGAACTGCCTGTAGAAAAGCCATTCAGTCATCTCTTTATGAACCTATTTTGCTCACTAAGCCTAAAAGCAAGAACAACTTTTTTCACTCTTCATGGGTAGTATCTCTCACAGTATTTCCGATACATGGTGAGTTTCCACTAAATGTATGAAAAATGAATATAATGTCTCAAAAATTAATTGATCACCAAAATTTATCTGTCGATTGAACCCTATGAAATTGGTGCTGTTTTAATGCCTTTATTGAGGTAGAATTATCATACAATTAACTGCCTATATTTGAAGTCTATCATTTGCAAAGGTTTGACATGTATGCACCTGTGAAACCGTCATCACAATCAACACTGTAGATATACCCCTCCCCCATGCCAAAGGGTTGCACATGCTACTCCGGCGTCTCCCCGCCTGCCCTTGCTATCCCCTGACCCAGTTCTGCTTTCTGTCACTATGGATTAGCTGGCATCTTCTGAAGTTTTATATAAATTAAATCATTCCATTTCTTTCACGAACATAATGGATTGAGGTCCAGCCTTGTTGCAGTATATATGAGTAACTTCATTCCTTTTCATTGCCAACTAGCGTTCTATTGTGCGGTTACATTACAATTTGTTTATCCATCCGCTTGTTGATGGACAGTGTTTCCAGTCTGAGCTATTGCACATAAAGCTGCTACAGACACTCATGTACAAGTCTTCATCCGGACATATGCTTCTGTTTCTTTTGTGTAAACACCTAGGTGTGCAACGGCTGAATCATATAGTAGGTACGTGTTTGTTTAGTCGATTGTTTTAGACCTACAAAAAACAGCAATTTCATATGGCTTAACCAAATCAGATGAGGACAAGGAAACTTTTGGGCTGTATCTGCATGTATCTCCAGGGCCTAGATGGGAGCCAGGCAATAGTGGCAGGTGCTTGGTATGTCTGTTGAATGAATGAATGAACAATAGCTTCCATCTTGTAAGTAGACAATATGTAAAATAGAGAGTCTGCACCGTTATATTCTTTCTTATGATGAGACTGACTTTTATGTTCTCATTGGAATTTTCGAGGCTAACGTCTCCGCCCCTGCCTATGCAATCTCCGTCTGTAGCAGTATGCTTCTCCCCCACTCTGCGTCCATGGCTCAGTTGTCTCTGAGGAGCATAGGAAGGAGTAAATCAAAAGAAAGGGAAAACCAGGTTAGGAAACCCCAGAAGAGATGCTTGCTGCTTCAGTGTCCTGGTGGTTGGGTAAGAAAACACAGTGTGAAATTTGGTTCAGTGGCCTACAATCCTGATGAAGACTTTCATCCTCCTTTTCTTTTCAATATAACCTGCGTTTTGTACGTTATTCCAAATTATCTCCCGGAACCTCACTCAGATGACCGAGGTCAAAGTTCAGTGTCCGTGCTCTTCCCATCAAACACATGTCAAGGCCGCATGAGAGGAATCACACCTGGAAAAGGACTATGAAATCCATGCTGGGCCATTACCCAGGACTAAACTTCTCAGTATCCGGTGAGTGACACCCAGGTGTGTTCAGGATTTGGACCGAGGCCTGCACATTAAAGGCAGAGGGCTTTCTGGGGGGCGGGCCTAGCCTCTTGCCTGAAGTATAATCTGCTTTTATTTATTTATTTATTTATTTATGAAAGAAAGAAAAAGAGTGTGTGTTTGCATGAGTGGGGGAGGGGCAGAGGGAGAGAGAGAATCCTAAGGGGGCTCCACACCCCAGCACAGAGCCAGCACGGAGCCCCATGTGGAACTCAGTCTCAGGACTGACTGTGCGATTATGACCTGAGCCAAAATCAAGAGTTGGATGCTTAAGACACTGAGCCACCCAAGTGCCCCAAGTGTAATCTACTTTAGAGTAGGTGGCTAGGGCCCATGCTAACCCCATACTAGGACCAGAAGGGGGTTCTTTTAATGCATGAGCCCATCAATCGGTTCACGTGATACAAGTTCTCAGTCCAACTTGGGATAATAACACACCTGCGCGATACCACTGTTCGCAGACTGTAGGTCACTTCTCTGCATAGAACACAACTCAAAAAGGCTACTCTTCTCCTTTCACTTTGTTATATTTCAAGATGTATTCAGAGTTGTCATTAGACACACACACACACACACACACACACACACACACACACACACACACACGTTTGCATAGCCCAGCAAGTGACTGAGTTTTCCCGCAGGCTCCTGGCCTTGCGGAGCTAATAAGGAAGGCCCAGCCTGCCATTACAGGCTGTAACCGATAAAGTTGAAAACACGGCTCTCTTGTACCTGGGGGTTTATGGTTGATTAACACAGACAATCATTTGAGAACATGACAAAAACACTGAGTCACTCGCTGTGCAGGAGGCATTCAACAGGAAACACAGCAAGAATAGGCTGGAAGTGGTGGTTTGTGCTATTCTGATAGGATTTTAATATCTCCAGGTCTTGCTGGTTCTACCATTTCCCTTACGTCCCCAGAAATCAAGTGTTTCTGTAGTGTGAAATGAAGTACAAATATAAAGGTGGTGGCCAGGTACCATGTCTCTAAGTGCCACAGCAGGGTCACATTTAAATGGCCCTCCGATCTTGGAAGCTTGAGCTGGTTTGAAAGACAACTGAAAGCCAATGCATCCGAAAGGAAATGATGGGGTTGGGGTGAGAAGGGCTCCAGGCCAGTTCTCAGATGGGAAAGAAACAGCTCAGAAAACCCAGGCACATGTCTGCCTCTGGGTCCTTGCTCTAGCTACTCTGTCTGCCTGCAGCCACTACCCTAATTAAGTGCCTGCCACCACCCTCCTCTCCGTTACGTCTTTGTTCAAATGCCATGTTCTCAGTGAGGGCCACTGAATCTCCCCCGGGGCACTGCCAGACCCTATCCCCTTTCCCACTTTTGTCCCCCAGGGAACGAATCACTTTCTAATGTCTACTAATTTACTCATCACTAGTTTATATTGCTTTGTGTTCATTGTTTGCACCCCCTGCCTCCAACACACCCAGATTGGATAAAACATAAGGTCCACAAGGCATCAAGGATCTTTGTTCTGTTAATTGGCATATTCCAAATACCTAAAGCAGCACCTAATAAATAATTGTTGAACGAATGAGCAAACCAAAGGTGCAAACAAATGAAAGATACGTCCTAAGATTGTCAGACTCCTTGTAGATCATCTCTGACCCAGACAAGGGAAAATGACTTACCCAAGACCCCAGAGCAACTCAGCACCAGGTTTGGGGCAGAGCTGGGTCTTCTGCCTCCTGGGCCACTTTTATTTTTTAACCGTCATCACTACATAAAAACCTGAGTATTCATCTTCTAAATAAAATTTATCAGGGGCCCATAAAATAATTGCTCTAAATTCCCACTTTGTCTACAGGGAACTGAAGGTGCTGGTGACTGAATGCAGGTGCTGAGATTCAGTGAGTCACCCCAAAAACCAAGTCTAGGAAACTGGCCTCAACTTCCCAGAGGCAGAGGGAATAGTCTTTTAAGTCTCAGACAGGCCTGGATTCAAATCCAGGTTTCTATCATAACTACACACAGAGCACTGCTCAGACCTTAGCTTTCTCACTGTACAACACAGGTCACCGTGACCTGCATGCATGCAGGCATCCTGCCTTGCAAAGCGTCTGGCACATAGGAAGCTCAAGAATACGAATTTCCTTGTCTCCTGTTAGGTGAGACTGCCTGTGCTTGCCCAATGCACTCTTGTATGATTTCCCCCTCTTGGGTTGTTGGCTAACCCAACAGGCATTTTCAAACCCCATTTCCCTTGCTGCCTCCAGTTCGGAGTATAGGAAAGCTAAACCTGCTTATCCAGACTCCCCTGCAGCCAAGGATGGCAGGTAAGGATGTGACGTAGTTCTGGCCAGTAAGACACAGGCACACAACTTCTGGGAGCTTCTGAAACGTTTTGTTCTTCCTGAAACAAGTGACAAATACAGATGATGTCCTGACAACTCTTTTCCACTTCTTAGTGCCTTGAATAAAAACACGGTATCTAGAGTTACAGCATCCATCTTGCAACCATGAGGCAATAAGCCAGCAAATGAATTATGACAGGGCAGAATGGTAGGAGCCTGGGGTTTGAATGAATCAATGAGTCACTACACTAACCCTGGACCGCCTTCCTCTAGACTACTGATGATGTAAGAAACAGAAGTACAGCCAAAAGCGTCTTTAGTGATAATATGTATACAGCAATAAATTGAGGAAACATATTCTGAGAGCAGGAAAATGGAGAGGTCCCAGTTGTTAGGTGAGCCTGGATTTACCCCCACAGGAAGCAGAAAAAGTAAGCAAAGTGAGAGGTTTCTTTTATTCAGTACATATCACCTCAGATCCCCTCTTAAGTAGCCTTCCCCCAAGTCCCAAAACAACCCCTTCAAACCAGAGGTCACACCATCCCAAGTCCTGTGCAACCTCTGTCACATGACCAGGCCAGAAACTGCGTCTTCTTTAAGGCCTCATTTGATATCATCATAACGATCTTTTTTTTTTTCTTTTTTCTTTTCTTTTCTCTTCTTTTTTTTTTTTTCTTTCTTCTTTTCTTTTTGCTGGGGTTCTCTTCTTTTCCAAAAGGAACATTTACATTCCTGACCATCCGTACCCAGAGCTGCTTGTAAGCTACGCTTAACTGGCCCTGCTAGACAGCAATAAACGTCCTTGACGGGACTTGTTTTAAGCCTTTGGATACATTAGCAAGTCCCAAAGACACTTCAGAACTTAAATACGGGAGAAAATGTTCCAATTACAACTGGCAAGACAGATCACAGGAGACGAGAAAGGGAAGAGGGAGGAACAAGATGGGGAGAGAGTCAGGGAGAGATAAGTTTCCTTCGTGGCCATGGTGTGACTCATTTTGGCAGGAGCTGGGTAATTCATTATTCTAGAGGCGCTGCTCAGCCTGGCCTGTGGCATGATTAATAGCCTAGTCCTGTGTGCT